GCATAAACAGCACTTAGTGAAGGGACTTTATCCAGGGTAGCATCATCCACAGAGTAAGGAGGCAGTGTCTAGTAATTGGAAGAGGCAATGATGCTGATGGTGGCAGCTGTTACTACACCAAAGTTGATCAAATGGGGTTAGGTTTGCCTTGGGATGTGAAGACAGGGGTCTGTGTTGGGATCACAGCTTTCTTTACTATGTGACCCCAGGTTACTTATTCTCTCTGATTCTTATGTTTCTCTTCTGTAAAATGGGGACAGTGCTAACCACATCACTGGCATGGGAGGATGGGAGGATTAAATAATCCTATATAATAAAAGGGTAATATGCAAATTGACCCTAACAGCAGAAAGACTGGGAATGACTGGTCACTATGACACACACTGACCACCAGGGGGCAGACGCTCAATGCAGGAGCTGCCTCCTGGTGGTCAGTGTGCTCCCACAGGGGGAGCTCTGCTCAGCCACAAGCCAGGCTGATGGCTGCCAGCACAGCGGTGGTGGCGGGAGCCTCTCCTGCCTCCTCAGCAGCACTAAGGATGTCCGACTGCAGCTTAGGTCTGCTCCCTGCTGGCAAGTGGACATCCCCTGAGGGCTGCCGGGCTGCCAGAGGGATGTCTGACTGCCAGCTTGGGCCCGATCCCCCCAGGGAGCAGGCCTAAGCCAGCAGGTGGACATCCTCCGAGGGGTCCCAGACTGCAAAAGAGCATAGGCTGGGCTGAGGGACCCCACCCCTACCCCGAGTGCACAAATTTTTGTGCCCCGGGCCTCTAGTCTACAACTGGCTGAAGAACCAGCTTCTTGCTTCACCTCAATGTTCCACGAGACCAGCGTGGCCAAGGATGGCCATGGGTAGCCTGGTTTTCACTTTTCAAACTGGCCATGCCATCCAGCTTCCAGCTCTCACTTGATCCAAGGTTTTACTCTTGGCTCTCTACACAGCCATGAACAGAACAGTCTTCCTGTTTTTCTTTCCCATAACTACTAGTAGCTGTGAGAAAGCAACTGAGGTTCCAAGAACCATGCTGACTTTTTCTCGCTTCTCTTCTCCTATGGTTTGTAGAGTAGGGGTGAGGGGAACATTTGGGCCTTTTGGAGAGACTTTTTGGTACTATTTTCTTGAAAATCCAGTTTTGTGATGCTGCCCCAAGCAGTTTATAAAATTTTGTCATTTCTAGATGTAACAAGTGGCTCAGCTCCCTGAGTGTCTGCCCTCCCTATTGAGAAATTGGACCAAAGCATCTAAATATGGGATATAAATGAAGAAGGAGATAGGAGAGTTTCTGTGTGTATATAACTACATTTATAAGTTTTATGTGATTTATATATTGTTATTTACATATACAGATGAATACATATTAGTAATTATAACCATAGCTAACACTTTTGAGCACTTAGCATAAGTCAGGCATTTTTTTCTGAATGCTTTGCATATAGTAACACTTAACCCTCCCAGCAATCCTGTGAGATAGGTTAGTTCCATTTTACAGATGAGAAAACTGAGAATAGGCAAGGTAGAATAACTTGGCTAAGGTCATACATCTGACAAGGGGTGGAGCCAGGACTTAAACCCAGTCAGTCAGGTTTCCCAGACATGCTGATAACCTATTCTAAACTGCCCCAAACTGCCTCTCTTTTGCAATTTTATAGTTTGGGGACCTGGGCATAAACAGCACTTAGTGAAGGGACTTTATCCAGGGTAGCATCATCCACAGAGTAAGGAGGCAGTGTCTAGTAATTGGAAGAGGCAATGATGCTGATGGTGGCAGCTGTTACTACACCAAAGTTGATCAAATGGGGTTAGGTTTGCCTTGGGATGTGAAGACAGGGGTCTGTGTTGGGATCACAGCTTTCTTTACTATGTGACCCCAGGTTACTTATTCTCTCTGATTCTTATGTTTCTCTTCTGTAAAATGGGGACAGTGCTAACCACATCACTGGCATGGGAGGATGGGAGGATTAAATAATCCTATATAATAAAAGGGTAATATGCAAATAGACTGAACAGCAGAACATTCGAACAACCAATCAAAGCGTAATATGCTAATGATATGCTAAGGCTGCTTAACGGCTTGTTATGATGTGCACTGACCACTAGAGGCAGACACTCAACTGGTCGACCAGTTGCTATGACATGCACTGACCACCAGGGGGCATATGCTCCAACCAGTATGTTAGCTTGCTGCTGGGGTCCAGCCTATCAGGACTGAGCGCGATGGGCCAGACATGCCCTGGAGCCCTTCTGCAGTCCCTCCGTGCACTGGTGGGGTCCCTCAGCCTGGCTTGCACCCTCTCCCAATCTGCGACTACTCGGGGGATGTAGGAGAGCCGGTTTCCACCCAATTCCGCAGGCCACTCCCCATGAGAGGGCGCCAGACGCAGGGCTCATGGCTAGTGAATGCTGCTGCGGCAGCACAAGCTTCTCCCGATCGGGACTGATTGGGCACGAGCCCACGGCAGGCACAGTGGGGCCAGGATGAGCAGGAGCGGCAGGTAGGAGCTGCAGGTGGTGTTGAACTGCAGGTTTCAGCCTGATCCCTGCAGGCCACCCAGAGGGACACCACCCGTGCACGAATTCGTGCACCGGGCCTCTAGTATAACATATAAAAAACATCAAGCATAGCCCCAGACCTGTAGTAAATATTCAATAAAAACAATGTTTATCCTGAAGCATTTGGCTTCTTCTCAGTGGATAAATAAAACAAGATAATTATTTGCCTTTCTTAAGAAATTAAATACAAAACCATATCCAAGTTAGATCTATGCTGAAAAAGTTGGTCATGAGTTCTTCCTGTGCCGGACCTGGCTTTTGTTCAGGTCCTGGTTAACTTTTGACCTACAAGTAAACTACCTTCATTTCCATAGCTGGAATGTCTGCCTCCCCCTGGAGAGTGTGTGGGCTTTGACAACCTATTTCTTCAGAGGCACTGATCAGATCCTCGGAGTGGAGGCTGCAGGGAGCTCCTCTCAGCCCTGCCCTTCTCCTCTCTCCCGTTGCCTTCTCCTGTGCAGAATCTGTGTGTGCCCCGTGAATTACAGCCACTCCACCCCCTCTGAGTGCCTCCCACTGGGGATTGTGTCAGAGGGTCTGGATATAATTGACAGAAGCAGCCGGCAAAGGCACTTCCTGCAAAGGCATTGACTCCAGTGGGCATATGAGCCAGTATAGACAGTTTCCAAAATCTCAGATATGGAGAATTTTTTTTTTCTTTCCTTTAGGAATGTGGAGGGGACTTTCCTGAGCATCCCAGGAAATCCACAGTGTGACATTCCAGTCTCTGCAGATGAGAACAATGTCATCCACAGTCCCGATCTTAAGCGGCCATCGGGGGGGAATTAAATTGGGGTTTATCTTTGAGTGACCAGAGTTATTTTTGTTTTCGTCAGCCTGGACTATTGTAATTAATGCTAAGACACAGGCGGGAACAAGGCTTTTATTATAATAGGCGGGTGAGGATGGCTTGGACTGACCTTTCTCCTGCTGGAGTTTCAGTGTTTTAGTATGTGCTGCTTGCGCTGAAAAGAATTTATAATCACAGGCTGTCAAAGACAGCCATTGTTCTCCCTGCTCTGAACATGTGGGTCAGCCACAAGTGCTCTCAGCTCCCCCAGCGCCAGGAGCTGGCCGAGAGCAAGAGCATGCCTGGATTCTTCTGAGGCATCAGGAAAAGCATTTTGCATATTTTCATTGCTTTTTTTTTTTTTTTAACTTTCTGCCTCAGAAAGACAGCTCCCTTTCAGAGCAGGAATTTCCCTTCAAGGTAGCAGGAGAGGGAAGCCCGCTGCTCCAGGATTTTACGGATCTGATTCTGTTGCAACAACAAATGCTGCGTGCATTTGCCAGGTCGAATAAACAGGAGCAATTGCACCGCTAACCTCGGGGCTCCGGCCCAGAACAGACATGCGGTTATGGATTCCGAAAGGCGGGTCAAGGTTAAGGTTTTAGTTTTCTTTCCTTTTTTTTGTTTTTATCTGTCATTGTATTCTTGTGAATTCAAACGTGATGATGTTTTATTTCCCTTTGCTTTGATTTTCTTTTTTTAAACATTGTGAAGTGGGAGTTCCTGGGGATTTTTCTTTCTTCAGGGGTGTGATTTTTCTGGTTGGGAAAGTTGCCGCAGGGAAAGGTGGAAGAATGAAATGTTGGCTGGTAGATGATCATCCATTCGCTAACTGGCTGTCATAACCTGTTCCTACGGATGCTAGATGCAGGAATTTTTGGAGGCCACTGGAGACTGGTTTTCCTGTGATGGAAGGCTCAACGTCTGTTGCTGTAATGTCTGTCGTTTTTTGTTTTTTTTATGTTTTATTTTTGGACAGGAGACTGATGACATTGAGAGTCCTAAGCGGAGTATCCGAGACAGTGGTTACATCGACTGCTGGGATTCCGAGCGTAGTGACTCCCTGTCTCCCCCTCGACACGGCCGCGATGATTCCTTTGACAGCCTGGACTCCTTTGGCTCCCGCTCCCGGCAGACACCTTCGCCAGATGTAGTCCTCAGGGGAAGCAGCGATGGTAGGTGGGAGCCTGCACAAGCTGCACCTCTTAGAATGAAACACACACAAGGGCTGCCTTGTGGCCCACAGAGGGACTGGCGCTGGGGAGGAGGGACCTGGTAACTCTAAACTGGTAGAAGGAAAGTCTGCGAGTGTTGTTTTTTGCCTTAGATTCTTGGTGGGCTCTGCCAGCAGTTCGTTTGAACATTGCGTCAGTGAGCATATCTCCTGTTGGAAAATGTGTGACATCATTCCTCCCTGGGTCTCCGTGAATAGAGACGCTGTGCAGACCATTAGCTCAGAAAGTGTGCCAAGGGTTTATTTCCTCCGGGTATGAGGAAGGGAAATGTTTGAGTGAGTACCACACTGTGTAAGTGAAAATGGACCGACTTCCAGCAAGCTGGAAGCGCACTCCACTCACTGAACAAAGTCCTGAAGCCTGGGGTTGTGAAACTTTAATTGGCTCGGGTTTGGCGATCTGTGTGAGGGGTATGATACCCAACCATTGCCGAGAGCGATGCAGGTGGCCCTTACAGTACAGGGCACAGCCCAGACTGCCTTTTTCTGAGGCTGGGTTTGATTTGAATCCTGTGGATGTTATAGCACCTGTAAGGAATGATCATTTTCTTTACAAAAATGTATGGTCATGCAACCTGATATCAACTTAATGCATACTTTCCAGAAGCTGTGTTACCTTAGTATTTTGCACCTTTGTGCTTTTTTGGAAGGGACAGTGGCTCAGTTCTGCATGTATAGACTTGCAGACAGATACTAAAGCTGGTGGGAATTTTTTGTTTGTATTTTTAAAATATCTCTTGATGCTAATATTTCTAGAGACTTAAGACTACTCTCCAAGATGAAAATTGTCTTTTATAGCTAAAAGATTCAGCTATAAAATTCTGTTACTAAAATAGGTGGGTACTTAATGTGTCCACGTTGAGTCCATGACCTTATGACTAGTGTCTCATTTAGTCCTCAGCACAGATTATGAGGTACTCACAAAGTGTCTCACTTAGTCCTACTATGGGGCTGAGGTACTCCTTCTTACCCATATTTGCAGATGTACCTCCGAGAGGTTAAGTAAGCCTCCTAAATGAGTGAGTGACAAAAATTACTGTCAGTAAGTAGTATAACGTAAGCTTCAGAAACTGTGAACCCAAATCACATACTCTTAAGCTTAATTTACCCACACTTCTTTGTTTGCCCAATAGATTTTTTAAATTCTAGAATGTCTGAGCTTTTGTTTAGTCCTTAAACTTCCCAGCAAATGGATTAACCTCGGGGCCACATAGTGTGTGGTTCCTACAGAATCTCACAGTGCATTGTGAGGTGCTTGAACACATTCCTAAAATTGTATATGGCCTCTTAAAGTACCACCCCAGTTTTAGAAGTTTCAGTCCCAAATGCATGATCCAATTGAGCTTTCATGTAAGTAGAAGGTAGATGGACTTTTACAAAACCTATCTTAGCCAAACTACTTTATCCGTATTATTGTGATTGTGTTAACAAATTACTATTTTCCTCATCTTGGTTCTTTATAACTGGTAATGCAGATCCTTTGTTCCATCACCAGCTTCCAGGGGACCAGAGTTTATAACGAGCTACATCTTGAAGGGATTTGAGATGATGGTTGCTCATATTGTAGCTGTGCAGAGGCATAATGTAGTTAGCAACAATTAAGATTGATAAATATTTTTTCCATCTAAAGACTAACATGAAATTGAGCTTCACAAAACACCATCCATGAAAGAGCATCATACACACAGATTTCATTAATCAGCCTGATACCTTCGGGCTTATGTTCTTGTAAACTAATCAAGACCTAAAGAGGTTCTTAAAGCAATGCACCCATTTTTATGTGCCTTAAAAAAATTAGTATAATTTTGTCCAAGTAGATGTTATATTTCCTTGGAGTTTATGGTATTTTTTTAAATGATGCTGATCAAGAAGATTGCACATCTTCATAAACGCTTTCAGATTTAGAAAATTTTTTTTAAGTCTTGAAAATTTATTTCTCAGGACTCATAATCCATTAGGGAAAACCTAACTACAAAATTCTCCAATTCCATATCGGGCCAATATGGCGAGCTTTTGTATTATTACTACTGAGGCCCACTGACCCATTCAATAGGGACAGTCAAGGGCAACACTCATTAGAGGTGCCATGATTCTATGGTTGGACTCAAGAGCTATCTGGTAGGGATGCTGTGGGTCCCAGGGTCCGTTCAGTCACTCGGTCTTGCTAGATAGGTGCTCATTCCTCCCTGACCTTCACTGGCATTCCTCCTTAGAGATGGAAGGGAGGGGGAGACACACAGAGAGAGACATCAGCAATGTGAGAGAGTCACATCGATTGGTTGCCTCCCGTATGCACCCCGACCAGGACCAGGGATCAAGCCTGCAACCAAGGTATGTGCCCTTGACCAGAAATGAACCTGGGACCCTTCAGTTCATGGGCCGAACTCTATCCACTGAGCCAAACCTGCTAGGGCGAAAAAATAATAATTTTTTAATTAATAAAAAGGGTGATCTATTAATGTTAATGATCTGTTGATTCACATAAACAACCTATTTTAAGACATTTATTCAGTATATTATAGATAATATATAAATTAGATATTATACACATATAAGATTCATAGATTATAGAATTTTAGAATTGAGACCATTCTAATTCGTTATGATCGAAGAATCATTGTCTTTCTTTCATTTATTCAACAAAAATGCAGTGCTCCCCTGTCAGATGCTTTAAGCAGAGGACATTTCCCAAGAGAAGTATGTCCCAAAGAAGAAACTTTGGGCTGGTGTCTTGAAAACAGAAATCGGAGTTCTTGTCTATTAATAACCAGCCAGAGAGAGGGGGCTCTCTTGGCTCCTCTGAGCCTCAGTTTCCACCTTTGTCAATGGGGAAACAAATCTCAGAGCTTGGCAAAGTGTTTGTTTACAAAGCAATTCACGGGGCTCTAACCATTTCATTATGACACTGAGACAGATATGCAGTACACGATAAAAGACCTAGGGTGGGAAGGGAGCTAAGTTACAAATTAAAAGCTAACAAGTAATGAAACGGTCAAAGCCTCTGAAGGAAGACAGAGAGCAAGTGGCATGAATAATTCATACACCGAATATTTTATCTGCAACAATGAACACTTGTTTATGGTCAGTGCTTTTAACTTTTATAGTCTTTTAAAAGCCATTAAATCATTTCATCTCCAGGGCAAATCATTTCATTCCTGTTTTATAGAAAAGGACAGTCAAGTGTGTTAGAGACAAGCCTGGGAGCCCACAGCTCATTGCTGACAGACCCAGAACTGTCAGGACATGAAGAGTAGTCAGCACTTACTAAGCCCTTGCTGTGGGCCAAGCACTGTGCCAGTAAATTCTACATGTATGCGATCCTCCCGACAGCCCTAGGAAGCAGGTGGTATTATTATCTTCACTTTACACATTGGGAAACTGAGGCTTATAGGGCTGAAGTAACAGATGCAGAGCCTCAGAGCTGCTGAGGGCAGAGCTCACTGTGAAGAGGAGCTGACTTGCCACCCTCTCCAATCCCCACTCTGCAAGGTTGCTTCCTCTCTCGCCTCTGAGTTGAAGGCTCTTTTCACAAGTGTAAACCAGTAATCTTCTATTTGGGATTGAATAGCCTCATAATGCTCTCATTGATTAAGAGTTTTCAACCAGCATTAAAATGGTGGTTATCTATACACTAGAGGCTCGGTGCACGAATTCGTGCACAGGTGGGGGTCCCTCGGCCTGGCCAGGGATCAGGGCCGAGGGAGGTTCTGATTGGGGCAGTCAGGGCCGGCCGGCTGTGGGGAGGGGCCATGGAGGTGGGCGGGCCATGGGAGGTTGGCTGTAGGAGTGCACTGACCACCAGGGGGCAGCTCCTACATTGAGCGTCTGCCCCCTGGTGGTCAGTGTGCATCATAGCGACTGGTTGGCCAGTCATTCCAGTCGTTCCAGTTGTTCGGTCATAATGGTCACTTAGGCTTTTCTCTATATAGATAGTAGTGTTTGTTTAAATGACAGCTTCACTCTGTGGATCTTAGAAATCCAGTGATATGAGACTCAGGAAACAAGGATGCAATATAATTAATTGTTGGGGCTATGAAAGACTGATGTATGCAACATTAAATTCCTTTGCATTGTCTAAAACACTCTTTAAACCAAACCAATTCATTTATTTGTCAGACTATTTGAAGATGCCCACTGTGTACAAAGACACTGTAAATAAGTACTGTAGATGATACAAAGCTCTGTTCACAAAAATGCAAGATGGAAAGTACAATGTGCAAAAGAAAAGAATAGATCATCAGGCCAGAATGTTCACAGGAAAAAAAAGATTCCCTCCAGCAATGGGTACCAGGAAGGGCTTCAATATGCAGTGGTTCTCAACCTGTGGGTCACGACCCTTTTGACGGTCGAACAACCCCTTCACAGGGGTCGCCTAAGACCATCCTGCATATCAGATATTTACATTACGATTCATAACAGTAGCAACATTACAGTTATGAAGTAGCAACCAAAATAATTTTATGGTTGGGTCACAACATGAGGAACTGTATTTAAAGGGCCAGAAGGTTGAGAACCACTGATATAGAGGAATATGCATTTATTATAACTCCAACCACTTCCTGGAAGACAAACCCTTGGTTATAATCCACATCGGCCACTTTTCTGAATTCTGATTGTTCCTATATGTCTATGCTCCTGAATTATAACTAATATTCTCCCAGTGTTAAGTGGCTTGGTTAAAACTACCTCAAAGACAAAATACTTTATAATTCTTATTTGTCAGAATATCTAGCACAGTGTAAGACATGGGACAACAGGTGCTCAGGAAACACTCCATTCCTTAATTTCGTTTTTCTTTTGAGAGGTGCAGAATCTGAGCTATTGCAAATGGTTGCTAATTGTAATTCTCAGATACAGTTAGTCTTACCTCTATTTTTTAAATTTTTATTGAATGTATTGGGGAGACATTGGTTAATAAAATTATGTAGGTTTCAAGTGTACATTCTGTAATGCATCATCTGTATATTGCATAGTATGTTTACCACCCAAAGTTGCCTCCTTCCATCACTGTTTATCCTCCCTTTACTGTCTCCTACCTCCCCCCACCCCCCTTTCCCCTGGTAATCACTATACTGTTGTCTGTTTCTATGAGTTTTTTGTTTGTTTGTTTTGAAGGGGGGAGGGCGTTGTTTGATTTTGTTTTTGCTTAATCCCTGCACCTTTTTTTCACTATCTCCTCAACCCCCCTCCCCTCCAACAGCTGTCAGTCTGTTCTCTGTATCTATGTGTCTGTTTCTTTACCTTGATTTTTTTTTTTAATTTGAAGGGTTTTTTCCCCCCTGATTAAAGTTGAGAGCTTTTCCCACAGTAGACTCATTTAGACTGATACTTTAGGTTTGTTAAGTGAATAATTGAAGGAAGGATTCCCCGGAACCCGCAGATGTAACCACATCCCTAATACTGCATGCTTGCCGTCGGGAACGTCACTGCTGGCCCGGCACACGCCTCAGCACCCATCCTCTCTTCCCAGGGAGAGGAAGTGACTCCGAATCTGACCTGCCACATCGGAAGCTGCCGGATGTGAAGAAGGATGACATGTCTGCCAGGCGGACTTCTCACGGTGAGCCGAAATCAGCAGTGCCTTTTAACCAGTACCTCCCGAACAAAAGCAACCAGACAGCCTATGTCCCCGCTCCTCTGAGAAAGAAGAAAGCAGAGCGAGAGGAGTATCGGAAGAGCTGGAGCACCGCCACCTCCCCGCTGGGTGGGGAGAGGCCCTTCAGGTAAGGCCCGGCTTGAACACGGAGTGGTGTGGGGTCCGCAGCCCCTGGACACCAATAAGCTCAAATAACTGTTTCCAAACATGGATGAGATTACACATGGAGGTGGGCAGGACAGATGTTTGGAGAGAGACTGTGATAATAGAATATAAGCTTCATGAAGGTACCTAGAACAGTGCCTGGCACACAGTAGGTGTTCAACAAATACTTGTCTGACAGCAGATTTGTAAAAACAGGTCTTGTTGACAGAACATTGAGAACAGATCTGTCATCCATGTCCTTTTGTGGAGACTGCAGGACTGCCACTCTGGTAGATTAGGTGCAGAAAGACTTATTCTTATGCAAAAAGAATTTTTTATTGAGATGCATGCTTATCTAGATAAAGCTCAAGTATGTAAGGGGTTCATGGAACATGCTTCAGAATCACATGTAGAAACTCCTGTTTATTGGAAGATACATTGAACTGCTCACCTCTTTAAAGGAACAGTGTTTTTCCTAACCTCTGATTATGTTTTTATCCTTTCATTTATTCGGCAAGTATTTATTGAGCATCTACTACATACAAGGTACTGCCTTTAGGCACTGGGGACCCAATTGTAAATAAAAGAGTCCCTGCCTTCAAGAACCTTATAGTCCAACAAAAGAAACTTACAGTCCATTCCAATACTTTCAGCAAAACCACCCTGATCATTGCATGGTTATTTCTAATAGTCTACCTTTATTATCTATGATTTTCCACTGAACCAGCATTTTATTAAAAAGTTTTAATTATTGAACAAAGCATAAATTTTACCTTTCCAGTGGAAAGGGTTTTTGCCACTCAAGATCAATTTTGAAATAGCTCTTAATCAATATTGAGATTACGGTGCATTGCATTAATTTATAAATGACTACATTTAATTTTTGTCACATTGCCAGGATTGTATTGCATGCGATGACTTTTTTTAAAGTGGGAAGTAGTATGCGAATGACTAGGCGACGACATGTGGTCTGCTCCCCAGGCCAGTCTGTTCGTTTGGTGTAAACCATATTGTCCAACTCACTAGCTACCCCGAAACAATAGAGGAAGAGGGAAGTGAAGTGGGGTCTCCTTGGGAAGAGGACCCAGCTGGCCAGATGGACCCTGATGGGAAGCCTTCAGATGGTGGGTTAGAATTACCCACTGGCCGTCATAAGGAGCAGCGTCCCCCAGAGGAGTCTGAAGAAAAAGATGCTGCTGAAATCCAAAAGCGCAGGAGGCTAGAGCAAGCTGGGATCAAGGTCTTGCCAGCAGCACAGCGCTTCGCCAGGTCAGCTCTGCAGGCCGTGGGCTGGCCTGGCTGGCGTGGCGGGCGTGGCGCATGCCTGGGGGTTTGGAATCTGTCTGGTGTGTTGCAGTTTCCAGCCTGTTTCCCCACTCCCGCTTTTCAGTGGTATCACTGCGCCCTACTCGGAGCAACTGGAAATAGCTAATCGTCCCTGCCCTCGGCGTGCCTCTGCTCGCAGTAGCTGGCTCTTTGAAGTGGAGGTGAAGAGTGAGCTTTTTGCTGCTGGATTAGACCTGGTCCTACTGTAGTCAGTCATGTGTGGGCTGCGGGACTTCCCTGGCAATAACATTTTATTTTGTCAATGGTTTATGGCCTGTTAATTTTCACACTACTCCTAAATGGCTCTTATCTTACTCTACACATCACTAGAAAATAGCTCCTTTGAAACGGGAACACGCTCTTTAGAAAGGGTGGCTGGCTTACAAAAATCCACTTACTTCCTTTGTCCCAAGGGAGCAGTAAGAAAGACTGGGTTTTTTTGACTCCTTTTCTAAAGCATGTTGGTTCAGAAACAAAGAATGGAGTAATTACTTCTCTTAATTGTAACAAAGGCACCAGTTACCGTCCTCATGGCTTCATATTACATGTGAGATGGAGATTTTCACAAAGGCACACAAAACTGGAGTTCCATAGTTTTATGCAGTGTTTTGGGGAAGCTGGTAGAATTTTTCTCATATAATAACCACAAATATCCTAACAAATAATAGAGAGACCCAAATTTATTTGACAAATTGAAATTCATAACAGTTTGGCAATTGAAAATACTTTGCTACTTGCCAGTCCATTTAATCCTAAGAGGTGGGTAACATGCCCATTTTCAGGAAGAGTAAACTGAGGATCCGTGATAGTAAGTGACTTCCCAGCTGGTTACTGCTGACCTGGTGGCCAGATTCAGAGGCTCTGACCACAGTACCACATCTGCCGCCCACACATTTAATGGAACAGTTTTCATTTCTCAATACAATTCCGTATGTGCTCATTGCCGTGGTCTAAGTCTTAATTGAAAGTTCCAGCATTGACGTCTATGGATTTCAGTCCAGAGTAATCAAGGCTATATGTCTCCCCTGTCTGGCATTCCACAAAAAGTGTGTCTATCCTAAACATGTGTGTGCTGCTAGAAAACTCTAACACAGAATTACGCTTGTGTGAAAAGCAGCTCTCTGGGTTTCTGAATAATAAAGAGTAATGATGTAAAATCTTAAAAACAAATGTTGGCTCAGAGTACTTGTCAGATACATACTTTTTTCAACATAATTTTAGCATCTCCTTGTATGAGAAAGAAGGCTGGTTGCTGAGAATAGAAAAATGAATAGTATCCTCTCCCTAAGCACCATTTTTCAGATTGTTCCTGTTTCTGTCTTCAAATCTAAGGCCCACTGAGAGTAAATATACATGATTGAGGTGAGAGGAGGGATTTTTTTAAATTTTAATGTCCTTGACACATACCTTCATTTTTTATAACATCTGTGCAGTCTTCAAGCTAAAATGTAGCCAAAGACACCATCATCTTTATTTTTTTCTCATTTTTAAAAAATTGCCACTCTCTTGGTTAAAAAAAAAATCTCATCTTTAAAAATTGATTGTTCCATGATTACTAATATGGTTGACAATCATATTGTGTGTATTGGCCACTGAGATTTCTTCTTCCATAAATTATTTCATATCCTTTGCCATTATTTTCCCTTTTTAAAATTTTTTTTACTTTATTGTGATAAGAACACTTTGCATGAGATCTCCCCTCTGAAAAAACTTTTAAGTGTACAATGCAGTATTGTTACTTATAGATACAATGCTGTACACCAGATCGCTAGAATTTATTCTTCCTGCTTAACTAAAACGTTATGCCCAATGATTAGCAACTACCCATTTCCCCCTCCCCCCAACCCCTGGCAACCATCCTTCCACTCTTTGATTCTATATATTTGACCCTTAGGTACTTCTCATAAAAGGAATCATGCAAATATTTTTCTTCTGTGACTAGCTTATTCACTTAGCATAATGTCCTTGAGGTTCATCCATGTTGTACATACTGCAGAATTTCCTTCTTTTTAAAGGCTAATATTCCATTGTATGTATATGCCACATTTTCTTTATTCATTCATCTGTCCTCGGTGGACACTTAGATTGTTTCTATATCTTGGCTATTGTGCATAATGCTGCAATGAACTTGGGAGTGCAGACATCTCTTTGGGATCCTGATTTAATTCTTTTGGATAAATACCCAGAATTGGGATTGCTGGTTCATATGGTAGTTCTATTTTTAATTTTTTTGAAAATTCTTTGTATCATCTTTAGAGTATTCAAAAGAGCAAAGGGGGATGGTTGGGGAGCTACAGTAAGCTATCTCAGCATGCCCAGGGATCATGGTGATGCAGGGAAAGGAGATTTTTTGCAAAGGCTGGAAATTCCATGAGTGTGCTGGGCCACTTCAGTAACTGGGAGCTTTATTTTCTAATAAAACATTGAAATATTTTATGACAACATGCATCTGTGTACAAACCTAAAATCATGGTTAATTTATAAACATAATTCTGCATAATGAAAATTATATTTATGTGGTAATTTTTACTCCTGTCCACGTTTCCTGTTATCTGGATTACTGTTTACATACTTTGTCCAACTTAGCTCTATTAAATGGGCTTTTGCAGGTCAGTTAATGTCATCACACGGTAGATTTTAAGCTTTAACATTTAAAATTGGGTCCAGGAAAATTATGGATATTCCAGGAGAATGTCCCCAATAGTAGTGTGACACAGCTGCTCCAAACACCAGAATTCACTGCTTAGACAGACTTCCAGCTGTTAGCTCTCTCATAAAGGTTTCATATATACCCTGCCACTAGCCTGACACGTCTGTGACTGTCACTTGCTTTTGGAAGCCCACAACAGAACTGAGAGTCATTCTAAGTTCACCCGCATTCAAGATCCTTCTTTTCTCTTAGCTGGGAAAGTCTGTGTTTGCAGAGGTGGGTGAGAGTGTAGACTCAAGGCATGAGCAAGGGAAGGAGGTGTGTAGAACAAGGCTTCACCTTTCAGACTCTTTTTCCTGTTGATGTCACTCTTTCTCAAACACCTCCTTGTATTATTTTTTAACACAATATGTAGACAGGAGTAGAGGTGCCTGGTATTCCATTTTCACATGAGTTTAGAAGCCTAGGAGTCCCAAGCCTCCTGTCAAACAATATATTAGGTATCTTAGCATCAAGGGACAGAAAGTGGGCCTTCTTAATGAATGGGTGGAGTTAAATCTTCGTTCCTGTTGCCATTGAAGTCAAAAGTACAGAAGCCACTTTTTCTTCCCTTTGAGTTTATGATTCCGTTAGCTTAATTACCCCCCAAATCTGAGACTCCGCCGAAGAAGCCAAGATTTCTGTTTTTAAGGGGATAAAATAAGCACCAAGATTCACTTCCCCTGAATTAAAACACTACGGAGATTTGAGTTCTCCGCCGTGGTGTTTCCCATTGGAGACGTAAACTTTTCTTGAGCTGAATTATAGGTTTCACGTGATTGTGCTGCTTTTCTAATTGTTTTCATATGTTTCAGCACTCGGTGTTTGCTGCTGGTCTGTGGATCTTCGCAACCACATAGTAATTAATTACAGGGTGGGGGGTGGGGGGGGGGAGATCCCTCTGAGGAACAATAGCCGTTTAGAAGTTTGCAGAGGAAGAGCAGATGCAGCTGAGTGCCAGATGCCCA